CATTTGTTTTTTTAAACAATTTACCATATTTACCGCAGCTAGTTGTTTTGTGTTAAAATAAACATTTGGGTAAAATTGTTTCTGTTTTTTATTTTTGTTTTTTCACATTTGTGTTTTTATTGTAAAGTTGGTCTTAAATTTCCTTTCAAGTGGCATTAAAAAGTATTAAGTCTTAGATTTATCTTGCCTTAAGCTGTAGGAACCCTGTGTTTTAAAACATGTTATACCTGTACCATAAACCCTTTGGAAAGCTTCAACACCTTTCCTGACAATCTGTTTCTACCTCTGCGTGCAGGAATGGGAGCCGATCTGARCCGCCCGCCTTGTAGGAAGGCCAAAGACTTGCGAAAAGAGCGACGTCTTCAWAAGGACCTGATCAGACAACAAGTTGATGGGGTGTCTGCCACAAAACCCAAACCCAATCGAACCAACCAACCCAAACCTCTGGAGGAGTTTATAACGGAGTCGTTGGGGGATAACGCCTCCCACCGCCTCGAGGTGAGTGGAAACAAAGCTTAGCTGCTTTTGTAACAATAAGGATTTCTCTGCGTGTCTTTGCAAAACCTTTCTGGCTACTTTTCTCTCTCCTTTATGTTTGTTTTCACTGAGCGTGGTCTTCCAAGGCTACAGTGACCTCACCATGAGTTTAAATGTGCTGACCGAAACAGAGGGGGGAGGAAAACCCACACGTTCTTGGTTTGAATTCAACCAAATGTCAGGCACACCACATAAACTGATGACCCGTTTGATGGCAGTAAAACCACAGCACCGCGAAGACAGCAGCCATTATGAAAAGACGTAGAAACAACATTTTTTGGAAAGAAACTGTGATTTAGACGGATCTGAAGTTGGTAGACTAATGGCATTCTTGGGTTTTGAGCAGGAATTCAGCCAGTTGAAGTCGAAAACCTTGTGAACCCCTAAGACTGCGTAACCAGGAGGCCCCTCCCTTCTATAGGGGTGCGCTGATACCGATTTCCGTAATTTTGGGAGATCGGAGATCGCCCGAAACTTAGATAAGATCGGCGGAAAAGATCGGCTTCTCGTCTACCTCCACAGAGATCTGAAAATCAGCCACTGTTCCCTTTTGCTCTGCTCTGAGTTCTACCTAATGTCCAGTTAAAACAAGTTGTTTCAAGGGTACTGTTCAAGGTTTTTCAATAAAACAAGATCGGAACATTGAAGGCATATAGTGACCGAATCAAAAGATCGGCAAACGGCCACAAACTGCAATCAGTGCACCCGTACTTCTAGGGTTATAAATGTGCAGCATGGTCTCATTTTCCTTATCCTTTTGCTCTTTACCTTGTTTAAACCTGAGTGCAGGGAGTTTAAACTGGAACAAATTTAATTTACCTGAATGAGTATTCTTAAACTTGCCAAATAGTGAGCCTAGACAGTGTTTTATATCCATTTTATAAATGCTTAATAATGCTTTTATGTGTTTCCCAACTCATAAATAAGGCTATAAAGCAGCAGTACATCATTTAATAAAAGATACCTTTATTGTAAAGGGGTACCCAGTTGGGTTTTGGGTTTTTTACTGTGACCAGGTCTTGATTGCAGTGAAGGTTTTATTTGCTACCACCAGGGTTCAGTATAACAACGTCTCTCTGATCTTTCAGGCTCCTCAGGGAAGTGTGGAACCGTTTACTGCTCCACTCCACACTGCCCCTGTTCACTGTCTCTGCAGTGTTCTGTTCTTAAAGTTTTTGTAGAATTTTCTTTAAAATCTGCTTTTAGAAACGGCAGTTATCTRGTAAATAGTTGTCTCCTTTATGCCTCTTCTCTAACGATGCAAAAACTCTTTTCAAACCTCCAACCTGCAAGGGTTAAACGTGTTAAATCTTTTTTTTACGACGATAGGAAGTTATATTTTCATGCTGTCTTCTACAGACTGGTTGCATCAACGAAACTATGTTTTTGAAATAACATCATAATAAAAGAAACATCTGAAGCTTTAGGATTCTCCCCCTTTTTTTCCCCTAAGAGGCCCAGTGTTTTAGTTTGACTGAAGTATGCGGTATCAAGTGTTCATATGAGAGAGTTCTTCTTAAATCCAAGTCAAACAAACCTCAAGTTCAGTTCTGTATCCCGGTCTTCCAACAGMTCCATATGGCTCAGCCTCTGTGGCCAACAAAAGCTTCCAACCGAAGAGGCTTTTAATTTAAAGAGGAGCCACAGGATGAGGAAGTTTAAAACTCTAGGTCTGTGTCACTTTAGTAACACCCAGACGCTTTTCTTTTTCCACTTTTCCCAATTCAGGCTAAATTTGAAGCTCTGCACAAACGGTATTAAAAAYCGGTCGTGTCAGGTTTTTAATGAGGCRTAATAAATGGCTTTAGCATTTCAAGATCTATGACCGTTAATGGTTTCTTTTCCCGTTTGACTTTCAAGGCCTGTTTGGTATAATTTCTCAGCTGTACCAGTCTACGAGGGTCCATTTGTGACAAATGCATCAATCATGCTAAAATTCCTGTTCAGACGGCCGTGCGAAAGAGTACAGTTGCAACGCTCAACAATCTGGACACTTAGAAGGAGCAGAAGTTTCCACATWTACATGTACTCAGATACCTAAAGGACCCAAATCATCTTGATCAAACCTTTCTTTTAATGATGCAGTTGACAAACCAAGCTGTCAGCGTTACATCCACCTATTTAATATACATTCACACTGCAGGTATATCTTTAAAAAGTCTGCTAATTACATTTTTGACCGATGCAGAATTTTTTTTAAAAAACTGACGCTGTCAGGAGTTTATAAGGTCCCAATACACCTTCAATGTTTYGATTATATTCTACTGAAAAACCTTGAACAGTAACATTGAAACTATACAAACTGGACATCAGGTTGGACCAGGTAAGTGTCTCCCAGAATTAAGGAAATCTGTGCTGATAAATTGGATTTGTCACGGTCGATTTATCGGTGCATCTAAGGACAATATGAATGTGACAAATCTGATTTTTTTTCCCAAATCTGACTCATTTCGTTTCAATATGTGACACTGGATCGGATACGTATCTGTTGTTTTTCAAAGTAACCTCAGTCTGAATGGTTAGGTTGCATTTGGGGATGCAAGTTATCGAAGAATGGTTTAATCTAAAATTGATTGATCTTATCGATTGACTAACGACTAATTGATAAGCGGCCATTTTCCTAAAAACCTGGAGTCTGTCGGCTGCGGACATGAAAGCGCCCGCTACGAAGCAGGAAGAAATGAGAATGGAAAAAGTTCAAAACTTATTTCTAGCGGCAGAACAGGTTGGAAGATGGCTATTTGATGTTATTTATTGTTTTTAAATCATCCTACAGGCTCTGACATGTTAGATAAATTTGAAAATAAGGTTTTGAAAAAAACCGTAAGACTTGAAAAAAATCTGTGACATTGCTCTATACGTCTGTATACCTGCAAAATGACGTAAAATCCTTATAACTTAAGGACAATCCATACAAGTTGACATGTATGTTAGCGTCATACTGCTGGATACAGCCTTCGGTACTTTTCCTCCAAGTTTGGTGTAGTCCGTTATTATTGTTGTGTCGCAAAGAAAACTAAACAAGATTTGCGTGTAATTATGATGCCGCTCACATGGAGGTGGCTCTCTGCTCAGCTCAACTAGGGCCGGGGTAGAGTAGTACAGGCTGAGAGAGCAGCGGCACCCTCTACTGGATGGTTTAAACAGATGTTTTCAATTAATCGAATGGAAGAAATTTTAATCTAATAAACCATTATTCGACAATTAATTGTAAGCCAACTAAATTTTTTGCGTCCCTAGTTGCATTTCATTGATTTTTTACATCAGAGAGGTGGGGATATACGGATCAGTCCAAAGGTTTTATTGACACTAATC